GGGGTGCTTAACTTTTTTCCAGGTGTATAGTTAAAGATAAACTATCTTTCTGTTAAGACAGAAAAGATAAAAGTTAATAGTCTGCAATACAATTAATAATCACCAAGTGTCCCAGAATAGTATTAGATTATATATTCAAGGAATATAGGTAAAACCTAAGGGCAAAGTTGTTTTTAAAAAACCAACCAAAATTACTTGTGTTAATAAAATTATCTGAAATAATGGTAACATCTTTCGGTTTATTTATTGAAGTGGCCCAGCATGGCCAAGTGGTTAGGGTACTCGACTCCAATCTGAGGGTCGCGGGTTCGAATCCCCGTCCCACCAAACATGCTCGCCCTTTCAGCCATGGGGCGTTATAATGTTACGGTCAATCCCACTATTCGTTGGTAAAAGAGTAGCCCAAGAGTTGGCGGTGGGTGGTGATGACTAGCTGCCTTCCCTCTAGTCTTACACTGCTAAATTAGGGACGGCTAGCGCAGATAGCCCTCGTGTAGCTTTGCGCGAAATTCAAAAACAAACAAACATTTATTGAAGTGTTTTTATCAAACCACACATTTGCTGCTTAAGAAAATTATAGTTCATTATTTTTTGTCTTATGTTTATGTTTAAGATGTCATTTTTTTTTCTCCATGTTTAAGATTTTTAAAATTCCAGTCATTTTAACATAGTAATCAAATGGTGCATGCTTTTAAAAAAAATACAATTTAAAAACTGTTCAGAAAAAAAGAAAATTGTATGTAACTATTGTGAATAAGATAATAACTACTGTAATCACCTGATAAGGCAATGCACTTTAATCATTATAGCTTTTACCTTTCTTGTGAATTGGTTTATGATACCTAGCTCTAGTTAATTTTATTATGCAAGATTAGTTGCACTACTGTATAGATACTTTTATGTTCTGACTTATCTTGTTCTTTTTTTTATATATTAGTATTGTTACCAGTAGATCCATTCCAGACTTTACAACAAGCTATATTTTCTTACCACACATATCAAAAATTACTCCAATATGATAGGCTTATTTAAAGTTGTTTGTTTTTAAACCATTGTTCTTCAGTTAGATTAAGTAACTGAGGAAGGACCCATGTTGAAATTAATGTATAAACAGCATGGTGCACACTTCAAAGTTTAATGTATTGTCTAGTTTTTGTTGAATTAAAATATTTTGGGATGTAAACACTGGAAAAATTGCCTGAAAATATTTTGCATTATTAAAAGAATCCTGACATTATTTTGAAAAATAAGTCACTAGTTTTGAATTTTCCTTGTTATGGTGTCTTGTTTGATTACTTAGAACTGTATATATCAACTGTAACTGCCCTTTTCAGATAAGAAACTATCAGTTTGTCACTACAGTATATTTTAAAGGTAGTGTTTGCTGATAGACCAGAATAATATTTTCATGAGGATACCACTTAATTTGAAGTACACTGTTTTGTGTACTAATCTATTCAAGACATGTATATTGAATTGTTAAGCTAATAACATTTTGTTTATACTAGATTAATACTGATGTTTTCATTATGTGCATATTGAACATGATCAGATATTAAATCTGAAAGCAGATACTATCATTTAGTAATTACTTTAAATCAGTTGACAATGCTTGGTGACATATAACTACAAATGATATTTGCTAACAGAATTGAAACATATTTTGCTCTTATTAATTAACCTTCTTCTTTTCTGTTAATATGTAGTTACATATGCAAACTGAAATTGATATTTACTGTCTAACTGAAGCTGATAACATTTAGAAGTAGACTATTACAGAACAGGTATTGTTATGTAATAAATTCTTATAATCAAATGGTATTTAAGAATGGACTTAAAATTTTAGTTGCAAAACTGAAGCTACAATGTTGGTGAAAAACAACAAAATTAATTGAAGCTGATAATTACAATATAAAAATGTTAGTTTTAGAAATTGTAAGAGAAAGACCCCTTTTGTAACAGTTGAGTAAATAAAATGTAACATCTACTTTCATTAAATTAAAATGAATGAATTTAGTTTATAAATAGCCAGGTCTGTTTTAGATTCATTGATGATTCATTATTTGTAATTCATGAAGCTCTTCCAAACTGAATATAACCTTTACACCTTTATAATAAATGCAAAATATGTTTGAGTTATGTGCATGCTTTGTGCAAAGTTAATTAAATATCTCTTTTGGCAAATAAGCAAATCTCCCATTGTGTATCATTTCATACTGTGTAGTTGTAACATAATTTGTGAGGTTTGACATAAAAAATTTTGAGCTTCAGTTTTGAAAGGCTTCATGCTGAAGTTTTGTGATTTATAAGAAAATAACTAAAAAAAGGATTTTGTTAATTGTTCGACTGGGCTATTGCTATTGTATATAATTTCACTATTCAGCTGTGGAGAAATAAATGTAATGTGCAAGTATGTTTTATAAGAACTGTAAAAGTAGATACATATAAATGTAAAGGTTTAAAATGGGATTGTGTTTAATGGTAAAACTCTTACATATTTGTGCAGACCCAAGTTTTATAATACATCAATATATATATCAACTTTATTTTAAACTAAAAATACACCACTGAATTATTCAGAATAATGCATTATACTTCAATAAGTGAATTGTTTTTAAACAGAATTGAAATGCACGACACCATTTCAGACAGTAACAAAGTATATAAAATACTTGTATTGATGTATCCTGGTGAAAATATGTAGACCGAAAAGGTTGACGAATATGTGCAGAATAATCTGGAAAAACTGGTGGCAGCAGAGCATAACTAAGATGTGTGTGTGTTCTGTTCCCTGGGAAGATATGTAACCAGAAAATACATTATTATAATAAAGACATATATAAATACACCCACATGTAACTTGTGAGAGATACACAGACACGAAGAATTACAAGCAAGAATGAGTAAACCCAGAATACAGATTAGCCCATTAAAATCCACATGAATTTATTTTATATTGAAAACTATTCTTTTTCTTTTGTAATTTTTCCACAGGAATTTTATTGTGAATGTCTGTTACACTTGATTCATTACTCCCTTCATGTGCATAACTTCTGAAGTAATAATCTACCAAAAGACCCTGTCTTCAATGCTGAAGCATTCTGATTCACATCAATCCATACAACATCTGAAAAGAGAGTAAAGTAAAAATGTGTGTGTGTGTATGTATTTGTATGTATTACAGGTATGTGGAGAAAAAAAGTATTGCATAACATGTGCAACTGTACTTCGACATAGTTTTTTTAGCTCACGGTCACAATCGCATATACTGCTGAGAATATCTAGATAAAAAGTAGAGTAAATGATCATGTGTTAGAGAGTCTGTAAATGTGTATTTGTGGAAATATACTCAACGTAAAAAATATAGACAAATGTACACTGGTGAGAACATTACAAAGAGCTCAAATATGTTGCTATACAGTAATAAGAAAGAAACTTAGTTTAAGAAAGACAAACATATACACAGAAAATAACACCAGTGTATGCTGAGAATGTGTAGGCAAAAGTTATAATAAATAAAAGCAGTTTCCTGTTGAGAATTTTTAGACAAATACTGTAACAGATACAAGCATGTATACTGAGGACCTATAGGCACAAATTATAACAAACAAAAGCAGCTCACTGCTGAGAGTAAGCATGCTGAACTGTGGATCTGAGGTTCTTTTATTTATGCTCTGTTAATGAACAAAAAAAAAAAATTGCTCTTTGCTCTGGAGTCATGGGTGCATTATAAAAGTTGTGTTCAACTCCCACTATTCGATTAGAGTAGCTCACAAGTTTGTGGTGTTGACTAGCTATCTTCCCTCTAGTTTTTCACTTCAAAATTAGATACTGCTAATGTAGGTAGTTCTCAAATAGCTCTGCACAAACAGAACAATAACTCTGCTAACAATTTGTAGACAAACTGTGTGAGATGCAACTATGTATGCTAAAAATGTATAGACAAAATATAACGTGTGATGATGTGTATGTAAAGAATAATAAACACATATATACACATTGGTGAGAATTTGTAGGTAAAGTGTGTGTTATAAGAGAATTTTGGGGAACTGAGACAAAATAATGTGTGATAGACAGAATTAGTTCATATGTTTGATATTTCTATATGAAATAGCATTTAGTAGATACATATTGAGCAAGTTTTTGTCTCTATCTTGTAGAAAGTTTCTATATTTGTTACCAAAAGTAAAATATAAAAGATAGCATTTAGTAGATACACATTGCATACTTTTTGTCTTTATCTTGTAGAAAGTTTCTCTGGATGAGGATTAACATGTTTGCCACTTTCATGTACTACTTGTTAAAGTGAAGCCTTTTTAAGATGTTTAAAATTAATTTTTTTAGTATTTGCATATTGCTAAATTTTCATCATAAATTAAGTTTCAAAGTTGTACCTATTACTAGATAAACATAAATCATCTTTTGTTTAGGAGTTTCAAGTTGCCGAGGATTTCAACAGAATGGCTCATCAGCGTAATTATCTTGGTAATATTTTAAGTTTTCTTAGTATATTAATAAAACATTTTCTGTTATCATGGATTTTAAGAAATCAAACCTATGCCAACACACACACACACACACACACACACACACACACACACACACACACAC